TAGTTGGCCCAAATTCACTCTGCAGAGCATATTTCTTTTCCTACCTTTAACAAGTGTAAATCTTTGCTGACTTTTGTATCTGTCTTGTCCAATTCCTTGTACAGGACGACGAGTACATAGAATGTCTAGAACAAGTTCCCAGCACCCCAGAACCCTGTTAACATTTTGGGCAAGCACCTCAGAAATCTGGTAACAGTATCAACTCCCTCAGGGAATGTAGTCATTATGTAATGCAAACATGTACTAGCGAAAAGTAAAAACCGAAAAAAGAATTTTGTAAAACAGGCAGAAAGGAGACAAGGAAATTGGCATTTGAAAACTGTACTCTTAAGAAAAATTTTGGCTTCAGGACACAAAAGTTATTTGTCTTTTTTCCTTCTAGGAAACTCACTAAAAATTTTCTAAAGTTCTTAAAGACAAAATAAGCCTATACATTGGGCTCTGAACTTGCCCTTTTCACCTATAAATTGTGCTTTTGCCATCCTTAAGGAAGCAGCAATATTATGCAACACATTTCAACTTCATCCACACATAAATGGCTTGCATTCTGACAGCCTTCCACCTGGAACATCTGACAGGCGGTAGGTATATACATCCCTGTTCTTTTAAATGTTGCATTAGAGAGCCTGAGTCTTAGCTGTTTATTTTAAACCTCACAGGGTTCCCTGTGATAGGTGGGCTGTGGACACTAAGCCAATTCCTGTACTCCACTGATCCATGAACTACCCCAAAGAAATCACAAGCACCCCTACTTTGGGGACCCCTCCCAACTACCAAGAGCTTGCTTTCTTCTCTTACTTCCGAAAAACACTCCTTTTCACTGCCTTTTGTATGGATTTCATTCTTCAGCTATCATACATCCTAAATTATAAGTCTAGAATATGGACTTTTGTTCTTTTGCTTGGAATCTATTTTAAGACACTGATAAGTTCAGGTGATTTTTTTAAAAAGTCCAGGTGAGTTTTAAACATACAACCCAAGTAGTCCTTTTCATTTAGAAATCACAGTTTTTCTGTCACAGTTGCTTGATAGCCGTAAGCTTGCTTTTCTTTGTTTTACTAAACTTGCTCTTTCACGGTTCATTGTTTAACCCTTTTCTCCCCATATCCATTATAAGCTGAATAACCTTTCTGTATCTGTCTTTCTTTCCTTTTTTTCTTTTAACAAATTTTGAGGCTAAAACTCATCAAGAATTTAACTAGTTAGGTAAAATAAGAGTGATAAGTTTTTTAAATGTACAAATGTTGTTGAAAGACCAATCCTTTGTAAAATCTGTCAAAGGGGCATATATTTTGTGTATAATATAATAAAGGAGATTTAATTTCTTTACTGTAGGGAGCATAATAATATCCTTTTGAAACTAAAATCTGGACAGATACTTTGATTCTTTTTAAATTAATTCAAATTCTGGAATTTTCAATCTAAGCTCTAACTCTAGATCAATTCCAACAAAGGTCCTTTTTAACCCCGTGTTATCTCTACAGTAAAATAGAGAATATAAAAGGTTGTTATAATGAGTAAAAGGACTACTTGGTGTGACAGATTTCCTTTTACAGAGCTTCTTCACCTATTTTTTAGAAGTGAAATATAAGGTCTTCCACTTACTGTAAGCAGCAATGTCCATATGAACAGGCTGGCTATTTGTACACCGGGGGAGAAAAGGGAAATTCCTACAAAGATTGCTTTTCCCAAATTGAGTATTGATGTAAAATCATCTTCAGTTTATAAATTACTATTGACTATATTTTTAGTTTAAATATCACTCTTTCTTGTCATAAATCATCTCAATATTTTCCTTGGAATTTGAATTAATTCAAAGTGTTCTTAGAACCTTTGGCAAAAATTCAGGCAGTAGCTGTAGAACATTCTGATATGTGTAAATCCAGGACAGCTATAGTAGACAGAATAGTTTTATGACTTTTGAGCTATCGTAAAATCTTTTCTCCTACAGGAATTCACGTGTGGCATTTCATAAACAGACGCAATTGTTTTACAGCTTCTTTTTATCCCTGTACCCTCTTCCCTCTCGCCTCCACCACAAATACAGTGACACTTCTTACCAAAACAGTGGAGAATGAATGGAATGCTATTTTATTTCTTCCAGAGTAGACTGGCGAAGATTATCTCTGGTCTGGAATTCAGAATGGGAAGAGATCTGCTTCTTGAGAAAATGATGGACCTTAGTATACAGTTAAGAAAGTACCCACTTGCCTCAAGCTATTTTTCTAGTTAAAATGTTTTGTTAATTATTATTTGGACTCAATCCATTCTCTTTCCTGAGTCTGGACTAGTGGTAAAAATTAGAGCCCATTCGACTTACCAATACTATTTTTATTTTATTTTTTCTTCTTTTTTTAATTTTGAGACAGGGTCTGGGTATGTTGTTCAAGCTGGCCTTGAACTTGAGGCTATCCTCTTGCCTCAGCCTTCTGAGTACTAGGTGTGTGCCACCACACCAGTACTATTTTTTTAAAATTTTATTTTAAAGAGAAAAGACTAGCCAGGCATGGTAGCACACACCTGTGTTCCCAGCACTTGGGAGACTGAGGCAGGAGGATCCTTGTGAGTTCGAGGCCAGCCTGGGCTACAAAAGTGAGTTCAAGGCCAGCCTGAACTGCATAGTGAGACTCTGTCTTAAAAAGACAAAAATAAATACATAAATAAAGAGAAAAGAGCAAAAACAAAATAACAAAAACAGAGACATAAACAAAACAACAATAAAAATGATACAGAAGGTGATAAGAAATTAACAATGTTTGTTGTATTACATATTGTTATCTCCAAAGTGGTTACTCGGATA